CCCCCCCCCCCCCCTCCAAGAAAGTATAAGCTTGCTGCAGAATCTGGTTGCTGTAGAATCTGCCTATAAAAGCTTGTTGCAGAATCTGGTTGTTTAGCATATTAGAAATCATGTCTTAGGACTCAGCTTAATCTACTTCCTAAACTCTACTTATATGAATGCTTACTTCTCGACTATGATGTGTTTGTAAAGTCAGTCACTATTCTCTTAGTTTCTCAGTCATTATGTGTTTTGTTAAGCCTTAAGAAGCTAAGTGGATAATATGATTGTCCATGTACTAACCTTAGTAAAGACATCTCTGCTGATGTTTTAAAAGGGTTTAATATTCTGTCTAAATATGTATTGAGGTCACTTTACTTCACAATGATTAAGAGTAAAAAATGTGAAGTACTGGACCTGTTTCAGAGAAACTGAAATGCACCTTCAATTAAGAATAGAAAATTTCTTCATCAAAAAACTGTGAAACGTACATTTTAATTTCTTCAAGTATCGGTTTGACTCCATTTTAATTTCAGGAAGCCTATTAACAACGTTTTGAGGAATGGCGTCAAAGTCAGCCTGATTCTGAGGATGGTAGCTCAACCCAAGTGTCACTCAATGATGTAGCTTCAATATGGACGCAGGTGGTTGGTGGCGCAAAGAAATGTAGAACCTACGGTCTTGGATCACGATATTTTGTAGGTCGTTCTACGACATTGTTGTCTGGTGATGCGAGTTATTCGCAAGATCACGAAGAGGTGGAAGCATTACAAAAAGAAGTTGAAGGAGGAACGGAAAGAAGATCGCGTAAATTTTAACAAATTGCAGAGTCTAGTGGAGAAATTTATGAGCGGACGTCCATTTGGTCCTTTGAATGGCAAGGATGGCGGGGATAATGAGTTTTAGTTTATTATGGTTATGATGTTTGAGACATTATTATTTGTTGTAGTTGGATGTTTAGACTTGGTAATATTTACACTTGACTATGATTGTAATATTTTAGACTAGATTGAATGGTGCCAGAATGTTTAACTCTTTTTGGATGTTTTAGTTACAAATATTTATGTTTTGCATTTTATGGATTTGATTAGTTGCAATGGTGGATTGATTGGTTGAAATGGCGGATTGATTGGTTAGCATGGTGGATTGATTGGTTGTTGTATATTTGAATTGGTAGGTGGTACTGCTTTAAAAGATTTGGAATTTGGCAAAAAATTCTCAGTTTTCCTAAATAACTCATTACCTCAATCAAATAGGAAAAGGGTTTATAGGTAATGCTATATAAATGGTGATAGAGAAAATTTATCGTAATTTTTTTTAGAAGAAAAATAGCTTTGTGAAAGTGAGAGTACAATACAAATTCAAGAGAGAAATACAATTACAAAGAAAAGTGTTTCTTGTTCTTCTACCTTTGAGTTGAGATTTTTGAGAAAAAAATCAACACTTATTTTTTATTAAATGAGTTCACGGGTTTCAATGATCAAAGAGTTGATAGGACCGGTCTCGTGTGGATACTCATAGAGTCTTCGCCCTATCGAAGAAATTTTGAATCGAGACTCTCTTCACCAGGTATGTCTTAGATCCGATCTTTGACATGTAAATAAATTTTAAACACAAAAACGTCTTCCGCTGCATGTTACGAACATCTATATGCAATCCTTCAACGATCCCTAACAAAAGCAGTTTCGTACCTAAAGCTCAAACCCGAGACCTCTGATTCAACCGTTACATAATTTTATAGGCACACAAATACTTATAAAATGTTACTAATGATTATAAATTTCAATTTTTTTATTTATTTCTTAAATTTCGTGCACGATCAACCCCATAAAAAAATTTTAAACACATTTCAAAAGAATCGGAGGGAGTAGTTCCCAAGCATTAGGCTGCGCAATCGTGATGGGATTAAGTTAAGATTTAAATAAAATCCACAACAGATTACTTCATGAGTAACTCTATTTTTTATTCATTATTATAAAGGGATAATCAATCTCAAATTTCACAATTCCTTAATGGCAGAACTAATGGCTATCGAAAATTCATCTGAGCAAAAGGCTAATCCCAATGGAGAAGAAGAGGTTAGTTTACTTTTATATACAATTAAATATTTATCACGTTATTTTTATTGGATAGAAAATCAGAGAATTTTTGTTTGGTTTGGGGTTCTTTTGGTCATTCTGAGATAGTTAAAGAAAAATATTGGAAAATGGGAGTCGGTTATTCTTGTGTTACAAATTGTTCCTCTATCCTCTGTCCTTAACCAGATGTCTTGAGTAGATGTCTTGAGTTCGATCCCTAAAAATAGAAAAATTCTTGATAGGGAGCGTTTGGCCTTTAATCTTTATGCGGTGCTGCTCGGTATTGGATACCATATGGTTATACCAACAAAAAAAGTTTTTCTTGTATTAAGATGGTATTTCTTTTTTAAGAGAAGGTATAAATTATAGCATAAATCGATCCGTTTTTACCCTAACGAATGCAAGATAAATGTTTTTCATATGCATATTTATCACTTAATCATGATTGAATTATATGTATTCTCACTTTAATTTGTAACTGTTAAGGTTAAATTGTTTGGTATGAACACGGGATGCAAGTCTCTATCTTGTACCTGCCACCAGCACAGATGTCGAGTATCTCTATTTGTTTATATATAACAAAATGGTGACGTGTGTGTATAGGGATGCAGGAATAGACTTAAAATTTTGAAACTTGAGGAGATCACATAACACAAATATGAAAAGAAAAAAAAAAAAAAAAAAAGTAGTATATTGTACATTCAATTCCTTGTATGCTTGATTTACTGAGGTTTGCCTGACTAAAAGATTGAAGTTGAAAGAGTCTGAATCATCCAACATACATTAGTTTTCTCCTACAAAGCAGTATTGTTGTTGTATTGATTTATAAATTAATTGGAAGTTTTACCTCAACATATACTGATCAAAATAAGTAGTTTTGAGGTCAACATATATTTTTTATTTTTTTGGAAAATTTCCAGAAAAATCTACCGTCGCTACCCTTCGGGTGCGTACTAGGTAACCTCTGCTCACTATGCAATAGCTCGTAAACCACACATGAGATGTAAACTGCACTAGGCAAATCTGGTGCGACGAGCTCTGATTGAGAAGATTGTTGGTGAGGAGAATCGATCCCAGGTTGGGAAACCACTCGCACAACCAACTCAGTCAACCCTTAAGGGCGTCTAACATATATTTTTGTGGCTTGTTATAATTAGTGATCTTTTGATTTATTGATTACTTGGAGCCAGTGCAGTATAACAATTACCTAATGAACAAAACTAGTGAATCTCTAGAAAGTTACTGGACAAAAGTCACAAATTTAGACTCATTATAATGTGTACTCTGATACATCTTTTAGTAATTCAACATAACAGATTTCTTTCTATATGTGTCTGCAAACCGTGCCAGAACGGTTCTAATTGGTTTGCTTGTCATTGCCCCGTCCCTTTAACTTTCCTGAACGAGAGTCTACCGGAAACAGCCTCTCTGCCTTCTTAAATGTAGTTGTTGCTGCATTATTATAATTACAGATTGTTTCTTTTGTTATCTTGTTGCAGATGGATATATATGTGAAGGTCATTAAAACAGTACCTTTAAAGGTTAAGAAATCGGATACTATTAAATCTGTCAAAACATTGTTATATCACAAAGAAGGTGTACAGGAATATCGTCAGGAGCTCGTTTTCGCTGGTAATCAGATCAAGGATGATCAAAAGCTTGTTCATTTTGGCATTCACCAGAACTCTAGTATCGATGTTTACGTTAAGAGTTCAGAGTCGCTTAGGTTGTTTGTTACTATACCACATTCTGAGATAACCGACGTGTTTGAAGCAAAGAGTATTGACAGAATCCGGGATATCAAGGACTTGATTGGAACCAAACATGGTATTCGTTTTTATCAATATGCTCTAGTCTACAATGGGAAGTTGCTAGAAGATGACAAGACCTTAGGTTTTCTCAAAGTTCCATCTGAATCAACGTTGCATATTTTGTTTGTTAGAAGCGAAAAGTTGTTGGCTTCAGTGAAGATGCCTTGTGGGAAAATTTCAGAACTAGAAGTCAAGGTATGGCACACAGTTAATGATCTTAAAACTCTGCTCGAGAGACAACTTGGCTACTCACTTGGCGTTTGTACTTTGTTGTACGAAGGTAAGAAACTCGAGGATTCAAAGATGCTATTGTCGTATAATGTTGAACAAAAATCCAGGTTCGTGTTGATGTCTCCGTTTATTCAAGTATTCATTAAGTCGAATGGTGGAAGTATGACCCTGGACGCGCTCCCAACGGACCTGGTGAGAGACCTGAAGTTGAAGATTCTTGACAAGGCTGGAATACCAATGCATATTCAGAGTCTAGATTTTGAGGGAAAAGTTTTACAAGATTCCAGGAATTTAGCCAGCTATAATATCCAGAAAAACTCCACAATTCGTTTGGCTTTATGGAAAAAGCACGTTCGCGCGCATTGATGTTGTTACTATTTAACCATGTTTTGCTTCTGGTTTTGGGAATTCACCATTGAAAGAGATGTGGTTTTATTTGAGGAAACAGAACTGTATGTTCAAGTTAGTAGTTTGAGAACACAACATGCTTGTATCCATATATTAAGATTGTTTTCTCTCTGCCCTTTGGTTATCTTATAAATACTGTCGAACCTCTCTATAACAACCTCGTTTGTTCCAGATATTTGTGGATGTTATAGTGAATTGCTGTTATAGAAACCATATATTATAACAGAAAATGAAATTTAGTTCTGAAAAAACTTGACTTTTATAGTAAAGTGTTGTTATATAAGGATGCTGTCATAGAGAGGTCTGACTGTACTTATATAGTTAGTTTTGAACTTTTGATGTTTGAGTTTATCTGAAGTTTCCTCACAAGTCTGTAGACTTTTTTAAATTTAAATTTGGATCATTTTTCAACTTGTGTTTTATTCTTGAGCAGGGCGCATACTAATCTTCTCAGTGTCGTTCCAATTTTTTATCTGATGTCCGATAGATTTGCAGACTTGATTCTTGAAGTTGAAGGATTTGATAATTTAAGACTAGAGTATTATATACTCCTAGTGGTTATTTGCAGTGTCGTTCCAAAGATTTACTTGAGGTGCGCTTAAGCCCTGAAGCTATGTTCTAAATGAGTAATTTGCCTCCCTTAAGTGGCACATCAAAGCGTTGAAGTAGTTTAAACAATAAAATATTTCACTTAATTGTTAATTTTTTCAATTTTGATGTTCATACAATTAATATCTGTTTTTATAATTATTGTTCTTGAATTAAATACTTCTTTTTTATTTTTCATAAAACACAAGAAAGCTCAAAAGCTAGAAGAAAATAAGCAATAAAAAAATTAAAAAATACGTATACTATTACATATTTAATCAAAATTCTCCTTCCCCTGTCTATGTCTAGTCACTGAAGTACACCCCACCCTCACAGCATAAAAGAAACATGTTACTCCTAAACCAAATTCTAAAACAATTTTTTTTTTTAAAAAAAAAAACAGCCCGGTGCACTAAGCTCCACTATGTGCGGGGTCCCGGGAAGGGCTGAACCACAAGGGTCTATTGTACGCAGTCTTACCCTGCAATTCTGCAAGAGGCTGTTTTCATGGCTTGAACCCGTGACCTCTTGGTCGAATGGCAACAACTTTACCAGTTACACCAAGGCTCGCCTTCTAATTCTAAAACATAAATAGAACACAAAAACAGAGGAAGAATTGCAATTGAATGAAACAATAAACAGAGGAGTTGATAATCTAGACTCTAGAGTCTTTATTCAAATGTTTACAAAAAGAATCTCAGGAGATATAGAGAACTTATAGTATCTTTTTTTCTTATATATATTTTGTATAATATTGGCGTGAGATGAATTCAAATAAAAAACTACGGTTAGTAAAAAATCATATAGTCGACTCCAACTTATTTCGGAGTGCACCGTATTTCTTATTGTTGTTGTTTGCAATGTGGGTACAACTACATAATGATAGTCTACAATCAATGCTGAAACAAAAGGAAAATATATTAAAAGTAAGCAAAAGTTACAAGCAACTTACCTCCTTTTCTTTTTTGTATAACTTGTTGCTTTGATAGGCAGTTAAGAGAAAAAAAAATGTAAAAACACATGGAGAAGGTCCTACCGGGAGTCGAACCCAGGTCGCTGGATTCAAAGTCCAGAGTGCTAACCACTACACCATAGAACCTTATACATCAGGATTGCAACAGTGTTTCAATTTATAAATAGAATTTGTCAAATCGTGACTAACACCTAACGAACTTCCATTATCGCCGTAATGCGGCAAATATCAAAATCTCTTAATCAAGAAGTAGAACCCTAACATTGATAATAGTCAAATTTCAAAGTTCCTTCTAAGCACGAAATATTTACACTCTGTTTGGATCACTGTTCCCCATTGTTTTATAATGTATCGTATTGTACCGTATTGTATTGTATCGTATCGTTTTATGAATACAATATTTGGATAGATTGTATTGTTTGTTGTTGTTAAATAACATTTTGTTGTTTGGTTTGACTGTATCGTAGTGTACTGTAAATGATAAGTTTATTAAAATACCCTCAATTATTTTAAATATTTAATTTATCAAGAATTATACATAAAAATTATTTAAGAAAACCCTTTCTGCTAATTTATCACCAATTATGTCTTATATATAAATTAAGCAATTAAATTCATGCAAATTCTATCGAAATTAGTTAAACAAGTTAATAATCTATATCTATATCTATATCTATACTATATTAAAAGCACGAACACCCTTAGCGAAATGTAGTTCGCCTTTTTTACCCTTTTAAAATAGAGTTTATACTAGACAAAATAGTCATTTATTATTTTTCTAATATTTAGGATTTTAAAATTAACTAATAATTTTTACTATCAAACATTTCCTTATTCGAATACAATTTCAAGATGTTAATAACATTTCCTTATTTGAATACAATTTCAAGATTTCAAAAAGGCATAAGAGCAATATATTAAAGACATCCGATTCAATTGCTACATTAAGTTTTAGTAATTAACTATCATTATATAAATATTTGCTTCCACGATTTAGTATAAGATTTTGTTAGGCCTTTTTAGGACTACTTATTCTTTTCTACATAAGAAGAAACCCTTCCATGCATAAAAAGGTAACGTGTCTTGACCACTTTCTTTTTTTATCACTTCTACTTCTTCTATCTAATCTTTTAAATATAAATTAAATTTGATAAATTTTTTATAATTTCTTAACGATCGTGTTATTTAGAAGATGGTAATAATAACTAAATTTAGTAGCAATGTTGCAAGAAGATCAAAATACGATCTCTATTCTTCTTTATATTCAGTTAATGATATTAAGAATATTATAACTAATGACCTTGAATTGGATGTAGTTTTTGATCATTTGTCGTTATTTTTTATTGAGCGAATTAAGGAGTTTTCTTAGCTACATAATTTATCCGTCGCAATTTTATTTAGTTGACCTGTCTAGAATACACAGTGCCTGAAACAATCATTTTCATACAATGTTAAAATAAATGAGGCGGATACGTAATAGATCATTAAGCTTTTAAAATTATCTGAATTGTTTCCATGCTTAGCTAGGTCATCCGTTATTTTTTTTAACTAAATAGGATCAATATTTATCATTTCAAGAGCTTATATTTTTTTTAAATTTTATTTTATAACTCAAATATGTTAGTTAATATTATTTATTAAATTTTTAAAAGATTATACTCATACACATAATAATAAGGTATTAAAAGCACGAAGGCCTTTAGCGAAATGTCGTTCGCCTTTTTTACCCTTTAAAAATCAATTTCACACTAGACAGAATAGTCATTTAACTATTTTCCTAAATTTTGGGACATCGGACTCAACTAGAATTTGATTATTAAAATCTTTCCTTATTAGAATAATGTAGAAATTCCTAATATTTAGACTTTAAAATCAATTAAGATTTGCAAAATCCCTTCCAACTATGTAACAATAACTATACTAGAAGTAAGGAAAAAGGAAAAAATATCAAAAATAGAAGATCTAGATAATAAGGAATATAGAAACTTTTATATCAGAAAAATAATTTTTTTTAAAAAATAACATGAAGCACGTACATATATAGTACATTTCATACTAACTATGATAACTTAATTTTTTTAAATAATATATTCGTCAAATCCAATTAGAATTTTTTTTGCCTAAGACCCCTCAAGATGTATATAGAATTTTCACACTAAAGGTTGTGAGCACGTGATTTTTGCCTTGCTTGAATTATTCCTATAAAATTCGTAAAATTAGGATTTTTCCTTTTATTATTTTTAGAATCTAATTGCATGATTTTTGTGTTTGTTTGCATTTTGTGTGCATTTTACTTGATATAATTCATAAAAAATATAAAAATAGCACATTTGCNCCAAGTAACTTAGCCTCGCCAGGCTCAAACAACCCGATGGGAGAGCGGCATCGTCGACCATATAAAGCCTCATACGGAGCCATCTCTATGCTGGACTGATAGTTGTTGTTGTATGCGAACTCTGCTAAAGGCAAGAACTGATCCCACTGCCCTCCAAAATCAATCGCACATGCTCTAAGCATATCCTCCAAAATCTGCACCGTCCTCTCCGACTGTCCGTCGGTCTGAGGATGGAATACTGTGCTAAGCTCTACACGAGTCCCCAACTCGCTCTGCACGGCTTTCCAGAAATGGGAAGTGAACTGAGGGCCTCTGTCTGATATGATGGACACCGGCACACCATGCAATCGGACTATCTCCTGAATATAGATCTGAGCATACCTCTCTGCTGTATAAGTAGTCGCCACTGGAATGAAATGGGCCGACTTGGTCAATCTATCCACAATGACCCACACTGAATCAACCTTCCGCAAGGTCCGCGGTAACCCAACTACGAAGTCCATAGTAATGCGCTCCAACTTCCACGCTGGTATAGGCATCCGCTGAAGTAGGCCGCCTGGTCTCTGATGTTCATACTTAACCTGCTGGCAATTCAAACTTCCCTCCCTAGTTAACTGTTTAATTTCGGTATTCTTTCCTTTATTGCATATATATATATATATATATATTGAACTGCACAGGTTGACTTGGTAGTCCTGTCTAGCCTCGTCACTACTTCGCCGGGGTTAGGCCAGGCACTTACCAGCACATGGGGTCGGTTGTGCTGATGCTACACTTCTGTGCTTTTTGCACAGATCACGGTACCAGAGAAGCTCTTGGACCACAACTGTAGTTGATCGGGAGCCTTCTTCAGTCCAGGGACTTACGAGGTAGCCTAGCTGGCGCTCGCAGGCTGAAGTCCCTTTCCATATTTTCTGTTTGTTTTCATTGTACCGAGACAGACATTATGTATTTTTCTATTCAGACTTGTTTGTAGTACTCTTTAGTGGTTCGTGAGACAACGACTCCAGTCTTGGGTAGTGAAATATTAAGCTTCCGCATTTTGGGATTTCAGTTATTTATGTTTTAAAAGACTTCCGCATTCATTTAAAGACTCGTTATTTTATTATTGTTGTGTTGTTATCTGAAGATGTTTAAATGTTATTGCTGTTAGCTGTTAATATTTAGCTTAGTTATTCATGTTTAGTTGTAACTAGACCAACTATTTGGACTGGTTTGATCTATATGTGGGACTGTACTGGGCTGAAAACTGATTTTGTATTAGCTCGACCGTTAATTCTTAGGTCTCAGATACATGAGAGCTTTTTGAGTTCAGTACTATAAATAGTTTCATGTTAGGTTAATGGAATAGTTTGAGTTAGTTCGTGCTGATTTCCTGTCAATTGTTTCATAAATCTGTTTGAAAAGTAAGTCAACCATGAGATAAACCTTTGGTAGTTGTTTTCACTTCAATCTGTAATCAAATAAGATTGTTTTAGGGTCTGTTTTCGACTGTGTTGAACTTCCATGGAGTAAAATGAGGCTGCGTTTTGAGTGCTTCGTTCCATTTCTATTCTGATAATTGGAAATTAAAGGAGAAAGCCTGACTTTACAAATAAAGGTTCCTGCACGTTTCAGTTAGGTCTAGGATTACAAAATTAACACATTAATCGTAACAGGTGGCCTGGGTGATCAGTTTTAGATCGGTGTATTCTGGAACTACTTTGTTAGTAATATGATTTCAACACTGCCTTGCCTTAAAATCAGAAAGTCTAATTAATGATGGGCAAATTTGTAAGCAATCCCATGGCCTGCCCGGCTTCAGGGATTCGATCCCTCGATCTCTCCTGCGCAGCCTGGTCTGCCTTGTCCGATTTGGGCCGTACATGCATCANTAACATCATTCCGAGGCTCGAATCTAAGCCCAGCCCCTGCTCAAGCCTTACATAGGTAAGATTTCCTTTCTTTCATCTTTTATTTGAATTCATTGATTTTAAAATTAGTTTTCTGATTAATCTATGCTTTATTTTTATTTTTATTTTATATTTTGGTGGCAGTAATTAGTGTTCTATGTTTGAGTTAGGTTTTTGTTTCAGGATCCTGATTATATTGTTAGTTTTTTGTTTGATTGTCTGTTTGATTTTTATTCCATGTTTTGTGATTATTTTCTTTACATTTTATTTGGTTCTGCTCATCTTCTATTTTTACAGTATAGTTTCATTTTTATTATTTGATTTTGTTCAATGCATTTTCATGTTTGAATTGTCGAATTGTCCATTTATTGTTCATTGATAAAATAGTCTTAGGTTATAGTGTTGATTAGAATTAATTTCCAGCCCCAATTAGAATTAGTTAGATTGATTAATTCAATTTTAGGAATTGTTTGGATATAGCTAAATACTCCAGAATTTGTTTAACCATGGTCAATTTTTGACCAAGGTAAAAGGGGCTGGGGCTAGTTAACATGGGTTAGTAATTAGAAGATTAATTCAAGGGTAGTATAGATATTTCAAAATAGAGAATAATGCAGTAATTAAAATTGGAAACCACTAGAACCTTCTAGATGGGGTCCTAATTTGGAATTCAGGGACTTGGAAGTGTTACTTGGCCAACAAGGCATGAACTAAAGGACTAAATAGCTAAAATCTGAAAATAAAAGAGGGACCTAGGGTGTAAATGAAAACCTGAAGGCTGCCCTAAGTTTTGCCTATAAAAAGCAGGCCTAGTGCCTTAATTCACAAGTTTGGAACCCCAAAAAATCCCCCCCCAAAAATATTCTCCAAGCTTCCCAGATCTGAAATTTGAATTTCAAATCCAAACTCCCTTAGATCTTAGTCTTCTCAAATTTTCAGAAAAACAACAAAAAATCAAAAAGAAGAAATTACTGTTACATTGATCATTTAGGATCAGAAACAGCTCGAATTTCTCTGTTTTCTGTTCTATGTTCGAGAGTTAAAGCATTTGCAAGTAGTTTGCGGTTTATTCAAGTTGTTTTGGGTGTTTTAAGTGCTGAGGGTTTTCTGGAGCTTCTGGGCTCAATTTCAAGTCTATTTGGGTCTTTTCAAGTCGCCTATAGTTGATTTCCTGATTCTATCTTACTTTGAACACTTCCTGGATTATCGAGTTCATTACTGGGCTGTCATCTGATCCCTGCTTGTTACTGCTACTGATACTTCTTCCTTCTATTGCGATTTAAATACCAGGTACACTTTCATTACCCCTAATGATCTGGAAGTTTGACTCGCGTGTATGAATAACCTGTGGAATAAATGCTGAAGAATTGCTTATTGTTCACCTGAGTTTACTTAGAATTGCTGTTAGCTGTTAATATTTAGCTTAGTTATTCATGTTTAGTTGTAACTAGACCAACTGTTTGGACTGGTTTGATCTATATGTGGGACTGTACTGGACTGAAAACTGATTTTGTATTAGCTGGACCGTTAATTCTTAGGTCTCAGATGCATGAGAGCTTTTTGAGTTGAGTACTAGTTATAAATTGTTTCATGTGAGGTTAATGGAATAGTTAGAGTTAGTTCGCCTTTCCTGTCAATTGTTTCATAAATCTGTTTGAAAAGTAAGTCAACCATGAGATAAACCTTTGGTAGTTGTTTTCACTTCAATCTGTAATCAAATAAGATTGTTTTAGGGTCTGTTTTCGACTGTGTTGAACTTCCATGGAGTAAAATGAGGCTGCGTTTTGAGTGCTTCGTTCCATGTCTATTCTGATAATTGGAAATTAAAGGAGAAAGTCTGACTTTACAAATAAAGGTTCCTGCACGTTTCAGTTAGGTCTAGGATTACAAAATTAACACATTAATCATAACAGGTGGCCTGGGTGATCAGTTTTAGATCGGTGTATTCTAGAACTACTTTGTTAGTAATATGATTTCAACACTGCCTTGCCTTAAAATCAGAAAGTCTAATTAATGATGGGCAAATTTGTAAGCAATCCCATGGCCTGCCCGGCTTCAGGGATTCGATCCCTCGATCTCTCCTACGCAGCCTGGTCTGCCTTGTCCGATTTGGGCCGTGCATGCATCATATGGCTTGGGCTCATTGGGCCCAAGACTGAAATGGCAACTGGTTTGTTAGTATTTAAATGGTAGGTTGTGGGCTTTAAGTTAGGTAGCGGGTTCAAATTAAAAGGTTCTTCCTTTTGTTTGGATCCGGACTTGAACTTGAAGCCCGAATTTTATAACACTAATTAATTAGGTCTTTGTTAGAGACATATTAAATAGAAAATCGTAGTTGCTTTAGGTTTGCCCTTTAAATAATAAATTGAGATGAGCCTCGCCCAACAAAATGCACAAATCGCGGGGCCCTCATTAATTGCTTAATTAAAAATACTTAGAATTCGGGGCGTGCTGTTTAGCGAATTCCACGGCCCTCCGCAAAGATAATAACCCGTTAGTCGCTTTAGGCGCGCTTTAATAATTTTACCTTCTTAAATACGGATGTGCATTTCATGCAACCCAAATCCAAATCCCAAAACGTTGAATAAGAATGTGTCGAGGATCCGGGTGCATTTCATGTGACGTGATCCAAAAACACGTTTTTAAACGACGTTCACTTTCTTAAAAATTAACTAAAAAGCGGTAAATAATCTTAAACTTGCACTATAGGTTGGAGCATGTATAAAAATTAGATTTTAGCCATTTATGATGATTTAAGCGACCGTGCTAGAACCACGGGATCCGGGGTTGCCTAACACCTTCCCTCGGGTCAACAGAATTCCTTATTCAGAATTTCTGGTTCGCAGACTCCAATTGGGAAGTCGAAATTTTCCTCGATTTGGGATTCAAGTTAAACCGGTGACTTGGGACACCAAAAGCCAATCCTATCCCAAGTGGCGACTCTAAAAACAAATAAATAATCTCATTTCGAATAATGTCACTTTAAATGGAAAAACTCCCTTATACATTATCCTTCGGGGTAGGTGTGAAAAAAGGAGGTGTGACAGTAGTCTGGTCCTAGCCTCGTCACTACTTCGCCGAGGTTAGGCTAGGCACATACCAGTACATGGGGTAGGTTGTGCTGATACTACACTCTGCACTCTACTGTGCAGACCCCAGTCTTGTAGACTTCAGACCGCAGTTGGTTTGCTGATTCTTGCTCATCAGGCGACCCGAGGCAGTCCTGCAGGCGTCCGCAGGCCTTGGCGTCTCCTTCTATCTACTATTCCTGTTTCTTTCATACATTTCTAGAGACAGTGTTGTATTTATTTCTTTCAGCCCCTTTACTTATAGTATTCTTAGACCGTCTGTGAAATTGTGACACCAGTTCTGGGTAGTCGAGACTCAAACAATTGTATTGGATATTCATGTTCAGGTAGCTTATTGTTTTTCTTCCGTTTACGTTAATTCCGCTGTTTAAATGTCATTTCTTCTTAACTGTTAAAGGATATAAAATGGGTAAAAAAGTAAATTATTCAAATAATTGGCTTGCCTAGCTCACATTAGTAGGCGCCATCACGACTCTCGAGGGTGGGAAATTCGGATCGTGACAGCATTAGATAAAATAGGTGATAGTGTGCAAATATTTTTTTACCATAACAGGAAGATTAATTTATTGCTTCAGAGAATTACTATTTTTCTCAATTTTCAGTTGAACTTCTAAACTGACCTAAAATTGATAGATAAGACTATTATAAATTCCAAGATAGCCCAGTAGATACATTAACCATTTGATATGAACCTATTTTAAAATAGAGCTTTGTAAACTCTTAACACCCACCTAAAAAAAGAAAGACTAAAAAAAATCATGAACCTGAGTCCTTGAAAGAGTATAGGGAGAAAATTTAAGGAGAATCACTATCTTTGTCAGATCAATAAAGCATTCCCATGAAAATTAAACCGATACAAGTTAAATAAAGATCATAAGTTTCAACTTAAAAATTCCAAATTCAAGTAAAAATCTCAGCAAAGCTCGCACCATTATCCAATTGAAGACAGTAAAGAGGGGAAACTATATTTGTATAGCAGAGACAAAGAAATAGCCAGAAAAGCTATGAAGAGGAATACTATAATAAATTAAAGTTTGTTATAAATAAACAATAGGCATACCAACATAAAACAAACAAAAAAAATTACCACATTTCACAGTTTTAGAATTCAGGGTGTCATCTAATTTTTGGCTGCATTAAAGTTCTTCTCCTCCCCATAACTATTTTTGTCTTGATGGCACTTACTGTTAATAATGTGCGTATCCATGTAGAACATACGTACATGTGAGATGAAATAATCAAATACATGCTAAGAGTACAACACGAAAATATGAATGAAAATATATAAAAAAGTCAGATCTGTGTCCATCAAATATTCAAAATCATACAGAGCGAAATAAAAAGTCAAAAAAGATGTAATAAGAGAGCAAAGCACAAGCACATAGAGAACTTCAATAGCTAAAAGAAAACAACTAAATCAGTAATCTCTGAAAAGAATGGAATCATTAATTTACATGCTCAAAGAGAACACAAAGGAGGATGCAGCAGCAAAAACAATTTGGCAATTAAAATTTTGCATCAAATAATCAGTTTCACCAGTAGTTCCTCCCCCAACCAGGGATAATTCAATATTATCCCACAACCTACTTCACAATAGAAATCATGCAATTTGATGCACTCTTTTACAGCAGTTACTAAACAAGTATTCTTCAAGGGTAGGCTTAAATTAATGAACTATACCGAAGACCTCAGAAAATCTTGACACCAATGCAACAATATTAAGACATTTTTTACCGCATCTGTACAGTGGTAATAACTTTTATACGCATTCACAATACTCTGTTAATTTTTATATGTATTTTTTTTTGTTTTTAAAAGGTAACAATTTTCATATGTATCTTAGGAAGGTAAGATTTATGCCCCCTCCTATCTTTGGAATCAGTTAACCATCTTTTTGTTCACTGCAAAGTTGCTAAGCAATGTTGGGCGCTCGTTTTGAATCTTTGTGGTGTCACTATAACTATGCCTTCATATATCAGGAACCTAATGGATAGCTGGCAGGAACAAACGATGGCAACGTTCCAAAGGCAGCTTGGGAGGACCACCCCTTTGTGCATCCGGATCATTTAGAGTGAAAGAAATAGAGCTCGTTTTGAGAATATACAGAGTCACACTTCTAGAACTAAGAACTTATGATTGTGTGATCTATGTTACTAGTGTAATACATGTTTATCAGATAGTAAGGATCAGTACTTAGAATTTTTGAATCTGCTACGAAATATGTAATAAGGGACTATTTATAGGTGATGTCCGCTCTGTTGTACCCTTGTGTACCTTCTTGGTACATTCTTGTTAATAATACATTAACTTATTAAAAAAAAAAAATTAGTGGCACCAGCACCCCCTAACCAGAAGGATAACTCAAGATTATCCGATAACCTACATCGGAATAGAAATCATGCAATTTTATCGCATTCTTTTTACACCATTGCTAAACAAGTATTTTTCAAGGGCAGTCTTAAAATTTTATCTATATGAAAGAGTTGCACTTTATTAGTATTTCAGAATATCCCCAACAAATAAAGGACGCTGATAGAGATTATGCACTAAGTTTAAAAAGAGAGATTAGCAAATAAGCTACATATTTACCTTAAGTTATAGCTCAACAGTATGTACAAGCCAGAAAGCCAAAAGTGAGCAGCAGCAGAGACTTGCTTTACCTGCAAATATTTTTACGAACAAGACAGCACGTCAAAGCCATTTAAACCTTGAAGTTTCTATGATACCAATGTCAAGAGTTGCATCTTATACGTAACTTCGCATAACAGAGTGATTGAGAAAAAGGTGTTAAATATATTTTTTATAGAAAGAGTAACAAACGGCAATTTATTGGTAACCATTTCATTCCATCGTTGGCTCCAGTTCTGTTTTCACCTTCAATGATTTACCCTGTCCAGTTGGTAATTCCACTACTTCATTGGAGCAACAAAAGATTTTCTTCATCGGCACAACTAAAGGGTTCTTTCTTTTGTTGCCTTCGCCAATGTCAGTTGAGGTTGGTGCTGTGAGAGAATGAAGAATGTTTCAATTCAACACATGGCAGAATATACAGTATTCTAGATGTTCGCGCAAATAATTATTTAGCTTAGGTTTTGAGCAGTTCATGAGTAAACCAAGTTTGAATATTCAGTATTGGCCGGGACTCCTTTGAAAAAGAAACTTTTTTTGCAGGTTCAATCCTGTAGTAAACATGTAGAAATTTGTTAACTTTAACGATAGCATAACCATTAGATGTTGTTAGGTTGAATTTTATTGACAGCAAGATTTTGTACCTAAATTAAAGTTATATCATATATCTCCTCTGCAGTAAAGGATAATATTTTTCTCCTTGTTCACCCGTATCTTCCTAGTTGTTAAGCCAAAGGCTGGTTGAAGATCAACATCAAACAATAGCAGTTCATGATTAAAGTACTATTTTGGTAAGAAGAGAAGATTCTGCTAAAAAGTTAGTATCATTAAGACTAAGATTAGATCAAAAAGTACCTTAAGTGCCAACCCCATTTGTTGACTACATTCGACACAATACTTTGCTCTTCTGATTGAAATTCTCACTTCTTGTCTATTTCTACATATTTAAATGCATAAACATTGTAGCTCACTTGAAATTGATAGTTTTTTTAATGGAGAAGGCCTTGTGTATGGAAGATGAGAGTCATGAGACTAATCATTATCACAATAAATACTTAATGTCAGATTGTAAATTATGTCAATATAAATTGTACATTTGCATATGGTACCGTTAGTTTCTTTATCTGGGACAAGGATGAGAGATCCGGATTCTAATGTACTCCTCATGGTGAAAGAGAGAAGCAATTCTTTATTTTTCATGACATGTCCATGGCAAAAACCACAATTCCTATGAAGATTAACAATAACCCCATAAGAAAGAAACAAGCACAAAATACACATGAGTAATTAATGCAATATCATGCATGTAGTTGCAGCCATTACAAATTTATATTTTTATTTCATAAAGGAAGAAGAAAGGTCATTTAAATCCTTACATTTGATCGCCTGTTAAGTTAATGCAAAATTAATTTTCAGCCAAGAAACACAAGCACGTGTAAGAAGCGTTTAAGCTTACAAGAATAGGTCAATTATCTATCTATATTATATTAAAAATAGGAAGCTCCTAACTAAAAGGTCAGATTACTAATTTACCCTTATCCAATTAAATTGAAGAAGAAGAAAAAACCACACGCTGCATACCCAACAGTTGCACTGTTTCATTTCACTATTTATAAAATTCAAATGTGATGGCACTTTCGCCAGTCTTGATCTTCTCTGTTAACCCGACAGGTTTGTCCTATTACCACTTATTTGCCAAACAGTCATATTTTTTCATTAATTAAAAAAAATCATTAATCATCTTCTTCTCATAGTTTTTCCCAATTTTACTTTAGATTTTCATCGCTACTACTATCCCTCCATATATTTTACGGCTAAATCCTTAGCAATATCTATCTCCGCCGATGTCGAATTGTAAGTTCAGTTCTATTTACATAGCATAAAACTCTCATATATGTACAAACTTGATTTCTCTGATTAGCGTTTAATTTAGTTTGGATTTTACGCCCTTATTTTTTTATGTGTTTATGTTGCCTTTGATTTTCTGATGTTATATATTTATGCAATTTGTGAATGTAACTTATAGAGAATACTCCATAATCTTAATGTGGACGTGATCAATGCCATGGTTTGTTGTTATTTCGATGTTTTAGTGTTATTCTCATCACTTCATCAACAAATAAAAAACATGTAAAGAGAGAAGTAGGGAACAACTACTATGAAAGAAAAACGGAAAAGATAGCCAATAGTGTATGGTTGCTTGGGTAAAAGATCTTACCCATCGGAATACCAAATTTGGCTGCCTTATTACTCATTGTTGGTCTCATCAAGTCAGTATCGTTGGGTCTTCGGTAGCCAAAATTTCGAAATAAACTTTTGGTAAGTGACAATTATTTTACGTTGATTTTTTTCTAAGAAAGGTTGTGCCTTCTTTGTTCTACTGCGCTTGAACTTGTGTCATGAACATGCATTAGTGAGCACATAATTCAATTTAATTTTGGAAGCTTCTACATGTAAGTATTATACCAATGACTTAACATATCACTTTAAGGAAGAGAATAAAATTTCTAGCGGCATCGTACATTTAATTAACAAACTTTCTATTAAATTTTGTTATATTGTTTCCGTTTTTTTTTTTTTTTTTTTTTTTTTTTTTGTTTCTGATCTAAATGGTTACCATGGTAATTCTGAATTAAGAAAACTCAAATTCAATGTGTTTACGGAGAAGAAAAGGGACTTGGGGTCAAAATTTCTTAGCGATAATTATGGATTCAAAGTTTAATCCTCAAAATTATATTTTCTAATAAATTTTCATGATATTCACACTCTCCCATGAATATCTCCGTGTTTATCACTCTTGAGGGGGGAGGGAAATTAAAATGCATCAGATCTATAATTAGGAATGACTCTTCATCCTTATATAGGTCACTTTGGTGTTTATAAAATTATCAAGCGAGGCCTATGACTACCAATCGAGAGAAATTCTCTTGTCCTTAAAATTCCTTTCCCCTATTTTTATTCTTTCAGTTGTAACTTTTCAAGAGAATTCCAACATGTTGTTAACTTCGTATCACCATCACTTGGAACCATTACATAGTAATTGGATCCTTGACCAAGATATGCTTCTAATCAAAACTTAGAGAAAGATAGTGTTACACGTATCTATTATACTTTTTTGAGAGTCAAATAATTATTTTATTTGAAAATAGTTTTCCAGAATAGTTTCAGTATTATCGTTTAAATATATTTTAATGTAATATTAAGAATGTTATTTATTTTATACTCAACCGACAAATTATGTACATTTTGAAACCTTGTGTTTTGTATGTTGTGTTAAATTTTTTGTATGGAGAGATTAACAATATTTAGACATATACAAATTTGTCATATTGAATATGACCTGACCAAAATAAAAAGTTCAAGAGTGAAACCATCGGTTATAAAAAATGAAAATATAAATTCACGTAAGTTCAGTTGAAACTTTGATGAAGTACCGAAAAAATTTGTAGTAAAACCATTGTAATATAAATAGATTTAGAATATGAGCGTCTGATAAAAGATGTTATCATATGACTTACATCTGCCAGAATCAGGTCATTGACCCAATTCTGGCATTTATGGTGGTGGACATACTCAATTGGAATGGGAAGAACTACTCATCCAACGAGTTGGAGGCTGAGAAAAGCTTTCTGCAAATTCCCTGTCTGCCATGTTAAGGAGCTGGAGAAGAAACTCAGTAGGAAGCTAGCTATAAAACTTTCTCCTATTAGTTTCTTGACGATATTTATAAGCATTGAGTTTAAGAATCTAGTTATCTAAATTTTTATAATATCTTTATTTATTACACAGTTATTAATAATTTATTTTATTATTTATAATTAAATGTTTCACATAATTAATTACAATCAAACACTGAGCCTCTCATGCCAGTGCAATGTTACATGATTCACCATTCACCACCAGGAATTCATGTTTCGCAATTGGGGCTATACTGTCCATCTCATTTAATGGACAATTGAGCAAAAGAATGAGCTATGATCATGACAACACTAGTGTAACTAGTGAAAACGAAAAATTAAGAATCCTTATACTACTGATTCAAATTTTAATTCTTTCCACAACAAGAGATAGAAGCACAAGCTAGTGAAGCAATCATAGCCAACCTATATTAGCAGCAACCACAGATCACCCATCCTTACTCTTTCCTTGTTATGTCTCTTCCTTTCTAGAATTGCATTTATAGCTACAGTTATTTACCAAAAAAGTATAGCTTAGATTTTCAGCAAGACTGTGTAATAATGAACTGATTAATTGTTAGCAAAAGATAAAATTCAACAAAAAAAATATAATGCATGTGTAAAACATGCACAATTACTGGCATGCATATAAAAGTTCTAGCAAGAAATTATTCAAAACAATATACTCACCAGATTGCGATTACCAACAGAACAAGTGCGATAACCAAATATCACAAATAACTCACTAAACCAGAGAACATACATCAGATTCAAAAAGATCAAAGATGGATAAACTTTGAAAGAGTGAACATCTAAATTTTGATCTTTACCAAGAGAGACTGCAAAAGACAAAGAAAGGCTGAAGGAAAAACTTACCAACTCAATGAAATCACACTTGAGTGAGGACCTAACATTACAAACAAAAGATGAGACAAGCACCAATAGAACTTTGTTGAAAAGGAAAGTGAAAAATGGACCAAACACACATCAATGACACATACCTTCCTCTCCTTCATACATACACTTTCATGATTTTTCCACTTGTTCCTATCTTCCCTCTTTCTCTTCACCTCATTTCCTCCCTATAATAGTCATGTTTGATCCAAGAAAACAAACACCCAATGACAATTAGGAGCCCCTAAATTTTGGTTTTCAAGTAATACAAAAGTTTGGGAATTGGACTAACAATGATGGTGGAGAAGGGATTCAATTCAAAGTTCAAGAAATGGAAGAACATGAATATGGTGGTGTTGAATCTGGTGCTTCATCACCACCCTTATGGCAAAATAGCTCTCCAATAAGTCACATTTCATCATAGTATAAATTATTGGTCACTTTCGCCGAGTTCTAAAGCTCAAGCCATAGCTAGAGGCCAATGGGAACTCATGGAAATGGTCAAGAACATGCCTGAATCTTGCTTTGAGCTTTATTTAAAGGATCTTGTTGACCAACCTACTATAGCCTTTGAATCTCAAATCAATAAGGAGAAAAACCAAGTTGTGCAGCATAGTGTGAAGATAAAGAGGCAAGAGAGTAGCAACATGAATAAGAAGAATAACAATCAAATTAAGAAAGACAAGATGATGAGAAGTAAAAATATTGATAATGGAGGGATGTTTCTCAATATGGTTTCCCCTGTTCCTTTGAGACCAAAGAAGAAAAAGAAGAATTCAGCAAATACAACTAATAAAGTTTCCCCTAAGCCTTAAGAGTGTGAAACTCTTCAAAGAGTTTGGAAAAAGACTGGTGGAAGAAGAGATTTTCTAGCTCAAGTGAGAGTGGTAGTAGCAGAACAAACAACAATATTAGTGGAAGTACAGGCAGAAATAGAAGCAGGGCAGTAGTTCTAGCAAACGAAAAACATGTGCAGGATAGGGCATGAGTATATCACAGCGGCACCCAGTAAGTGCCAAGCCTAACCTCGGTCGAGTAGTGACGAGGAAGGTAACGGCCCTACTGATCATATGTATAAATCAAGGTAAAACAATACGAAATATGACAGTATAATTAAAATACTAACAGTCGATAAGGAACAAAATCACAGAAATAATATAATTCAATACACAGAGATAGCAAACGGGGATCTCCCGGGATATCGTCCCGTAGTCCCAAACGTAAATGTACAGAGGATCTCCCGGGATAACATCTCGTAGTCCAAAAGTAATATCCAATACAGGGGGAATCTCCCGGGATATCGTCCCGTAGTCCCGAGGGATCTCCCGGAATATCGATCCGTAGTCCCAAAGTAAATAAACAACAGTCTCAAGAAAGTATCCTACAATTCTATTCAAGTTTGTATCAGGAAAACAGGGAATTTCTATGCTAAACATGCTACACAAAATCCAAATAAGCAGTTAAAGCAGGTAAGACAGTTAAGTCACATAAGCATGCTTTCCTAAGCTAAACAGGAGGTTTCATACTCTTGTATTGTTCAATTAAAGGAGAATCATAGATAAGTATTTAATGAAAACATGGTTTTTCAACAATTAGCGCATGTACGCACTCTTCACCTCACATACACGGCATTCATATAATCATAGTACCAAAATCCTAAGGAGAGTTTCCTCACACAAGGTTAGGTAAGCCACTTACATCAAACCAGCTCATAATCAACCCGAAATCACGCTCTTGCCACGAGTATCCAACTCCGAGTGGACCAAATCTAATCAAATCAATATCATAACATAAATCTAATCAAATCAATAGCAGCAAGCAACAACTTTTTAATGAATGGGAAACACCATTTTTACCTTGATACTGAGGTACTTGCAATATTTAGGTAGGAAAGGAGAGGGAGAACTTACTGGATATGATAACAACTTTTGCTGTAGAAAACAAAATGATAATATGTTCTATCACTTAACCTGTATGAAGTGAGAGGAGTAGAATCTTTTCGCCATACATAATAATGAGTTAGCAAAAGCTTGATCAACAGAACCGGGAAAGCTTGATCATCAATTACTTCTACTATCAACTAATATCAATCAAGTCAAATTCAAGTTTTATTCGCTGAGGAAGTATAAGATTGTAATGGTAAAGTAAATTAACATCATTACTTACCAAGATCTAAGAGCTAAATTGTCACGACCCGGATTTCCCACCCTCGGGGTCGTGATGGCGCCTACTCGTAGGAGCTAGGCAAGCCACAAATCATAACTCCTAACTATTTCATTTTAAATTCCTTTTTACCAATCATATCAACAAGCATTAAATATTAGAATAACAGCGAAAATATGAAATTAAAGCGGAAGACTTAACGAAGGAAACCAAAATAACAAGGAAAATCCACATATGTCTCTACCTAGGACTGGTGTCACAACATTCACGTACTATCTAAGAGTGCTACATACAACTGTCTGAAACAAAGAATAAAGTCTGTCTCGGATACAAAAGGAAACAGATCATCAATAAAGATAGAGGAGATGTCGGGCCTGCGGACGCCTGCAGGACTACCTCGGGAATCTCGTAAACTGAAGACTAGCTCCCGAACTACTACTGCTGTCCGATACCTGGATCTGTGCAAAAGAGCATAGAGTGTAGTATCAGCACAACCGACCCCATGTGCTGGTAAGTGCCTAGCCTAACCCCGGCGAAGTAGTGACGAGGCTAGGACCAGACTATCAAATAAACCTGTGCAGTTATATAATATACAGCAGAAAGTAAAGCAGGTATAAGCAAGTAAGGATGGGAGGAGGAAATATGCTTTGGGGAATAACAGGTAAAAACAGAATATCAAGAGAACTATAAAGGAGTCGAAATCCAACCACTAGCAAGAATAAGGAAAACAAAAGCAGATTTCACTTTCTTTTACATCTTGTTGCAGGCGTGCAACCCGATCCCATTTCATGTATCTCGTGGCAGGCGTGCCACCCGCTCCCATTTCATTATACCTCGTGGTAGGTGTACCACCCGCTCCCATTTCATTACATCTCGTGGTAGGCGTACCACCCTCTCCCATTTCATATTATTGCGGCGTGCAACCCGATCCATATATAATATTGTTGCGGCGTGCAACCCGATCCATATACAATATTGTTGCAGCGAGCAACCCGATCCATATATAATATTGTTGCGGCGTGCAACCCGATCCATATATAATATTTACGATTATAACAAGAGTCCCGACAAGGGATCAAAAGGTCTAAACTATCCCGGCAAGGGAAGAAAAAACAGCTATAACCAAACTTGTTCCAACATCTAACTGCCTCAGCTATAACCAAACTTGTTACAACACCTAACTACCTCAGCTATACCCAAACTTGTTACAACACCTTACTACCTCAGCTATACCCAAACTTGTTACAACACCTAACTACCTCAGCTATACCCAAAATCCTTACCTAACACAAAGAATCATCAACCTATGTATCCGTCATATCAATGAAGAACACAATACAACGGAACCACAACTCAACAATAGCCCGGTAAGGGGGCAACATAATGGTCTCTTCTCTTTCTCACTTTTACTTCACAATTCACTTCATCACTCGAACCACTGCTCTAGAGGTTCAATTATCACTTATGCTTTCACCATTCGTTATGCAACTGGAGCCAATGCTCCTCAACGTTCATAGGTCCCAATTCTTTTCACAACTTTGCACAACAAATAAAAATTTTCACCAAGGCATGAATAATACAACAAAGTCATGGAAATCACAATATAAGACTCACGGTCATGCTCGACACCGACGTATAGATACTCGTCACCATGATTGAAAGAATTGAGTAAAAAACAACTTACAATTGATTTGGAAGAAAACTTGTTCTTAAAAAATCGTCCCAAGAAGTTTGTGTGTTGAGAGAATGTTGAAAATGGTTCAAAATTCGGCTAAGTGTAAAATATGCAGGTTGCAGATATGGGATTTGCGAACTTGGGTTCGCAATTGCGCACCCCGACCTGTTATGGGAATTGCGAGAAAATAGTTCGCATTTGCGACACTTTCAAAAATCCCAGGTTCGCATTTGCGACCAGTTATGTCACATTTGCGACTTGCCCCTATTCGCATTTGCGAACAAGAAGATCACATTTGCGATCAGGCAGTCGAATCCCTAGTCTCGCATTTGCGATGCAAGGCTCGCATTTGCAAGCTCGCATTTGTGAGATCTTCTTCGCAAATGCGAAGAACCAGAACTGAAATGCCAGATTTTTTTACAAAGGTTAAAATGCACTCACGGCCTATCCAAAATTCACCCGAGCCCTCGGGGCTCCAAACCAAACATACACACAACCTCAAAAATATCCTACGGACTTATTCGTACGATCAAGTCACTAATATAACATTATAAACATCAAATTAAGCCTCAAAATCTATGATTTCTTCCAAATTTCATAAAACATCAAACTTTCCATTTTAAGTCTGAAACACGTCAAACGATGTCCGTTTTCAACCAAACTTTACAGAAAGTGCTTAAACCATATATAAGACCTGTACCGGGCGCCGGAACCAAAATACGGGCCCGATACCATCACGTTCTAATCAATTTTCATTTCCAATTTCCTTAAATATTTTCAGAAAACAATTCTACTCAAAAATTCATTTCTCGGGCTCGGGACCTCGTAATTTGATTCCGGGCATACGCCCAAGTCTCATATTTTCCTACGGACCCTCCGGGATCGTCAAATCACGGGTCCGGGTCCGTTTATCCAAAATATTGACCGAAGTCAAATTTATTCATTTTAATATCAAAACTTAGCATTTTTCACAGAAATTCATATTTAGACTTTCCGGCTACGCGCCCGGATTGCGCATGCAAATCGAGGCGACCCTAAGTGAGGTTTTTCAAGGCCTCGGAAGCACAGAATGAATAAGAAAATAAGTGATGACCCTTTGGGTCGTCACATAAATGGAGGCAAGTGTAATTGGCATTCTCTTTTTATGTGGTGTAGGTGAACTGTGGAATATGAATGTCACAGAGTGCATTAGTTAGCAAAAAAAGTTAAAAAGAGTTTTACAGTCTCAGTTATTTGTCCTGTCACCTTACTTGTTACGCACTTAAATAATGCTGGGAAGTGCCAAAAATACAATGCCAACTCTGAGTAGCAGTTATTGCTGACATCTGTATCCCGCCTATCAAAAAGACAAAAACTGCTGAATCACCAATGAATATTAAGAATAAAGAATACGAAAGGAAACATATACTTCTCAAACAACTGAATTAGGTTGTTCAGCTCTTCCACATGACCTCCAATATCAAAGAAATCATCAACCACTATAGTAAGTACACCATTCTAGGCCCATGACATGCCGCCAATTAGATACTTTAAGTGTGGGTGTAACAGAATAATAGCAGTGTGCAAAGATTGTCTCGTAAATTCGAGTTTTTCCAATTGTTATGTATCAACCACAAGTTATCACAAGTACTTAAATCTTCGCATCAGTAATACCATTGCGTGAACGAAGCTCCTCCCCTTTTATTATCATACATTTTTCACAAGACCAATATGATGGCAAATAATAAAGAAAATCGAACCACAAACCTATCACACAAAGGGTGCATGAGTCAAATTCAACTTTCATATTAGTTATGTACAAAAATTATTGAAAGCAAAGAAGTCAAACAAAGCTAAGAAATAACATTTGAAGTAGTAATGTGTGGGGCATAAATTTTCTTCCGTTTGGTTTAATAAATATACCACCTCTGATCTAACATTACAAAGCATCTCTCTGAGCAACTGGTTTTAGCTAGATGTTTAAGGTTCAAAAAGATG